ATTGAAATAATTTAAATATGTACAGCTTTATCTATTTATCAGTAGTCACCTCTAATTGGTTGTACATTTTCAAATTATATGCTATAGGTACGAACGTGAGCCAATTTGGTTTTTCTAGTACCTTTACTAATTATGTTGTCAAAATAGAACGTAAATTAAAACACCACTTAACTAAACCACATGCCCGTTTATGAGAATTTTAATTAACAGCGAATATTATAGTGTTAATAAAATTAGTGTTAATATAAAATTAATGTCGGATTCGTTGAGCTGCGGGCGCACTGCAATATCGCTCCATAAATGGTTTATTGCACGAGTGTTGTCAATTCCGGGGAAGGTTCACTTCCGCGAATTACTGACCAATGAAATGCCAGTGTGACGCGTCTCCCCCTCTCCGTAATAATATAGAACACGGCGGTGTCCTCGTAAAAATATGTTTAATGACGTCATAAACATTCGATATGTTCGCGCGGCGTTGCGCTGAAAGCCTGCTCTCGCTAAAAGTATACATTATATGTATCTATAAATCCGTAAGTGTTCCATTTATTACCCACCATGGCTCTATCGATACTAACGTTACTGTCATATTAAATATTTATTGTTTACCTACGTACCTTTTGTAAATCATTGTTGCCTGTGTAGTGCGGCTTTTAAAGTGTCACAGTTCGTAAAAAATTTATTTTATTTTATTTATTTTTTTTATTTTTTTTTAAACGTTGCCCCACACTAGGATTTTCTCCTGTGTCGTGGGTGCGTCTACAAACATACAAGTTCACATACACATGACACCCAGACCCGAAACAACAATTTGTGGATCACACAAAGTGTTGTTCCGTGCGGGAATCGAACCCGCGACACGGTGCACGGCAGCCGGTTGCCCAGCCACCGCGCCAACCGTGCAGTCAAAGTTCGTAAAAAATATTTAATCTATGTTCATATTGTATGAGTTTCCCATGTTGTGTACTTAACAGACGTATCTTTACTCATAAATAGAAACTGTTAATAATAATATGAAGTTACAATATAAGTAATAACTACAATGGAAGTTTCACAAAGGCAGATTTTCCCATTGAATTGTTTCGAAATTTCGCCAAGCTGTGCCGCGCGCCGTCAAGCCCCGCTTACTCGTCTCCTCGAAGCTATTAACCACAAGTTTCGTTATTAGCGACTGTGTTGGAAAGTTATAAGGGAATCACCTTCATTTAAGTTGAGATTAAATTCTTACTGTGATTGAATAACCGCGCGTCATTAGTTTTGTTCGCGATACTGAATTAACCCTCGACGTAGGAAGTTACTCCGAAATATAGGGAATCGATAAGAATAGGGAGGGGTAACATTGACAATGATAAATAATATGAAAATAACTTAAACAGCATAAGTTTCAATCACAAAAAAAAATTAATCACATTCTTATTATGATAAAAAAATGAAAACGATATATTTGTTCGTTTTATACCTAGTAGAGTTATACAAACAGAATGTTTATTAAGACACTGCTGTTTTCCTAAACTTACTCATCATTTGATTTTAATTAGAGTAATAAGCATTCAAAAATGAACAATTAACTTGCTTTAAATAAATACAAGCAAGTGACGCTAAACAATAAATTAGACACAAACTTTGCCAAAACTCGGTACAATCTTCAAAGGCCGTAAACAAGATCAAGTAATTTAAGCCGAAATAAGCAAAATTACACCGGCATTGTCGGCTTCTCAACAACGTTACCGTAAAGCGTTTCCACAAACGTTTCTTACAAATTAAATTTAATATTTTAACATCATCACGAATAACATTATACACAAAGTTACGATATTAGTTGGATGCAGGTTTTTACATCATTTGTATGGAAATCCCGTAGTGGTCGCGGGAGCTGATGCCCTTCCATGTCTTTGGTATTCAGGCCGCGAACATGTAGGAAAATTAAGGTAGGCCGCAACGGACATGTGGACTTTGATTCCGTGCCGATTTTTGTATGTAAAAATAGCGGCCTCCTCATATGGTATTCATAAAGGTTGCGGCACAAGACACTTTACCGAAAACCATTTTGTAAGTTTTGCTATCGCCGTTTATGTTCCAAAATAGTCATTCAGTATAAGTGACCTTTTTAATAAAATAAAATTTTACCGACATAACATAGGTGACTAATAAATAAAATTTTCGTAACGAAAACACATTTTCGGTAAACATATTCTGCATACATTACCTATATGTGAGAATATTTTTTGTAACTTTCTAAAATTTCTAAAGTTATTTGCAAACGTTAATTGAAACAATTTACGTCATCGATTGTGAGCGTCGCCGTCGATTTATTTCCCCGATACAAATCAGGGCAGACAAAAGTAAATGTATGTCGAAGTGTAATTTTACACACCCACTTTTATTACGGATAATGTCCATTAGGTAACAAAGCAATGACATTAATGGCTGGTGATTAATGAGTTCACTCGTTAGGTTTCTTGTTTGAACAATAATTACTTAGTGTGGAGCTGAATCAGTGTGGAAGGAACATTTTTGCTCGTCGCGATCACCGTCGCGTCGCCGCCCGGAAGCACTTCCATCATAACTTTCCAAACTTATCTTAGTTAGTGGCGATCAATTTTCATTTGCCGCCGATTACGAATTTTCTTTAAGATATAAACTAAGACTGTTGTGTTGTTGTCGTTTATTGTTTACAATTATTGTTTTTGTTGTTTGTTATTCATTTAATTTAATTTAATGTTTGTTTTTAATACGTAATTGTAATTTTGTTGGAAAAGTGAGTAATTTTCAAGATTTTATACTTTGACAAGTTCCTGAAAATAATGTAGAATAATAGCAGAGCAATTTAAATCCTGGTAGTTTTATTTTTGACGCTAATTGAAGTATAACTGATATTTAACGTCGAAAAACTTAGAATAAAAGGTCTTTCTCGATAACCCTAATGTGGCAGAAAATTATATTCTCATCATGAAAAAATACAGCAGGACTAATCCTAAGAATATTACAGTGTACTTCAAAGAGGGTCGGTCTTCCCTGTCTAAGGGTACGGCATAAATTAATAATGAAACATCGCATCTTATGTAATGAATAACCGGGATCCGCCAGATTTGTTTTCATTTCTTCCGCTCAAGATACGTATTTACATATTACACAAACGGAAGACCTGTGTAATACATTTGCAAGATGATAAACAGAACGGAACGCGGGAAGTTATAATTTACAGTATTGCGACGGCGAGGCAGGGCCCGCCGTATCAGCCATCACGTCAGCTTCTCTCAGGCGCAGCATTTATCAAAAAATTATAACTACCCCTAAGCAGCTCTGACAAATTGCCTCACAAACTAAAATTGATTTTATATCTTTGTTATACCTACATGCCTCATTTTCCTTTTATAATATCTAAACATTTAACAATATTCCTATAGGTGTCCAAGTGACAAAAACGTTATCTCATTTCAAACAGTATCTCTCGATTCATAGTTAAAAATGGCAGTCATTCCATTTACTTCGTCAGATAAAACTTTCTTTTCATGAATAAAAATCAATACACAAAGTCCGCCGGCATTATCTAAAAGGCTACAAAGCTTTTTCACAGATAAAAATATAAAACGAAATCCTCTCTCCACAAATCATTGATAAATTTCTTCGCGCAAAAAATAGGCTACTCACATAAACATCAGTCAGGAACTACGATAACAAAGTAAATAATTCATTAGATCGGTGCGACAACATGGAGTATAATCAGGACCGCTGGTAAAAACGGTTCCGAATGAAATGTATGGTATCTTGTCGAGGCGTAGAAGCGGCGAGCTCGGTCTTCGATCTACCATCCGTCATGCTCAGAGTCGTGGGCAGATTGATCGCCGGCGCCGGCCGCACGCCCGCAGCACAAATATAGCGCCCGAGGAACGAGGAAACACTGAGACAAAAATGGTGAGAGCAAACAAATGCGCTGTCGATATCGTGACAGAAGGATTGATAGTTGAGAGCGGAGTCCGCGTCCTGCGTCTTACACTTCCCACTCTCGCCGCTATCGCGCAAAAAACTCGACTAACATAATGGTCAGTCAGCAGAGCTCAGATAACCGCATGGATATATAGAGCTTTAATGTTCAATCGTTATATAAACAATAAGTACAAACTGTATTCATAATATTAAATATATTATGAATACAGTTTGTACTAATAATAAATCAAAGTAACATATAATTTTCGATTAATTCATCATGGTCCATAAATATTTTCCCTTTGATTGCACGCTACTGAAACTCCACTACAATCACAAAAGGATTATTTTTCCATTCTGATATAATAATATTGATAAAATGTTAAACCGTAATCAAACATGAAGCCCTCGCATCGATGAAAAAAATTGGAAGGCAACTTTCATATAAGTGGGCAAGACCATTTTCATAAATAAAACAACGATTTAAAAATGTGTGAGGCCTTATCTTCTCGGGTAAAATATTTTTCATTATTCGAGAAGTTTTACGATAAGTGCGAACAGTTTCACATTGTCTGTACGTTACACAACAATTTTAATTGAGTGGAAATAATGAATATCGTGTAATAAACGAAATATGCACATCCCAAAAATTAAAAGAAAGAAGTCTTATCCCGACCTAAAACTAGTTTCCTCCTTAAATTTGAAGAATCAATATCCTTAATGTGATTATAGGATAGTAGTAAGCCGATGTATTTGTCATTGGATTCCATTCCATTGTTGTTGCTATAGCGATGGAAACGGACAAACAACTGTTCATACAACTTTTAAGAAAATTAAAGAACATCTATCTATGTTCTTTTAGCAATCAGCATACATATCTATTATTTTAAATGATACACATATCTAAATGACATTCTGTATTTAATAAATAAGTTTAACTGGTAGTAGGTTATATTTACCCATATTTGAAAACACTCCAGACGAATTTCAGATTTTTTGCTTTTCTATAATTTAGTACATAAAATGTCGTGATAATAGAACCTCCTCTTTGAAATATTCTTTCTGAATTGTTTCAGAATTCGTAATGTCGGAAGGTGGTGCGAGTGGCGGCAACTATCCAGCCAGGTCGCCGATATCCAGCTCGACCACGGGTCACTCCAGCTCCAGTCATCACAGGTAGGTACTATTACAAACAATACATTATTACCTAACTACTAGTTGAGAAGAAATTTCTTCTAATTCAGCACTTACGTTGCCATTTCCGTTGACTCTAAATTGAGTTAATAGAACCCTGTCTCCCAATATTGTCCATATATCTAAGTAAAACAGATTGTATACTTCTCTTCCGAGCGACATTAAATTACGACGCTGCCGCCATTCGATACCCTATAACGCACAGTAAACAGCCCCATACAGTCTTCTACGTTCAAATTGATTCACTTAGGCATTTATTACAAGGTTAAAACAGTCCATAAAATCTCAATACTTTAACAAAAGCTTTTACGTAATAAAGTCACCGAACATGCACATAAAAGCCCACAAATTTAATAAAAGCATTTTTTGCCATAGAGTGCCCTATCCTGAAAACCTTTTATTAATGCACTTATATTCTAAAATTTTCCTTTGAACCGCCCTCCAAAATTAATCTTAGCTCTCATCAAAAGGATCGAAAATACTCGGAATTCCTACCGTGTATTGAATGAAGGAGAGACGACGCCGGCGCCGCACCGCAACCAAATTCAACATGTCGATTTCAATGAGAGCAATAGTATGCTCTCTAATTAAATATAATCGCTGTTGCCTGTAAATTCTATAAAAAGAGAATCTCGAAGCTAATAAAAAATTGATGGAACCGCCGGTCGCCGGTCGCCGCGCCAGTAAAAGTGCTTGTGACGGTCCACATTAATTTAAACTTATCCGCGAGAAAATACTTTAAACTTTAGAATCGAGAATGTACTCTAATTTACATTTTTAATCGTAGTTCTGTTTACTTCGTTTTATTTAGCGCCGAGCTAGGGAAATTAGTGGCTAACTTAATCGCGGTAGGTATTTCTTGAGCTTCTTACAATATTTAAATTACGTGATTTGCTTAGGTTAACTTCAGCTGGTCTTTAACGTTTACATTGGTTTGTATGCAAATTATTTAATTGAAGTTGTCTTTGATAAAAAGTTATTCAAAGTCTGACAAAACATCATCAACAGAGCAACCATTTTAGTTGGTCCTATATATTTAACGACTTACGAGTTATGGAAAAGGACGAGGGAAAGTGTCAGCAGGTCAAAGACCCCGCTGCATTTAACTTCCAGTTTTTACGTGTTCCATAAGAACAATGGGTTTATGTCACTCCTACTTTTTGGAACTACACTAAACTTTTTACTTTTCTTCAGTGATTAATGTTTTGTTGTAGCTTCTAAGTATATTTACAATGTAAAACTTACCTACTTTGTATTTACTGACTATAAATATAACCTTTGCTATTAACATTTAAAACGAATCCAAAGCTATGAACAAAAATGAAGCAAATCGTATCGTAAAAATATAATGTAAGATATTCTTCTGAAACACTAAATCAAAGCTTGCTGCTGGCTAAACAGCAAGAAATGTGAAACTGCATACATTATAAGTTGATCTATGCAAGTGGAGCCCGATCCTCCCTCGCGACGTCACAATTTTATGTAATTAACGTCTGCCGCACCTAGGAACGTTCTGGACGTGTAGCACACACCGCTTCTGGCGGTATCCGAATACATTAGCCACGATATACGTGCTTCGACTCGCAGAATTTCGTTCGTTAAGTTTGCTCCCTGGAGGTTTCTGATGTCATGCCCTGACCTGCTTACCTTCGCACAACCTGTGGATGAGCTCCATTTGTCGAACCCTTAGATTTCTTTATCACGTACTTAAACGCTACTTTAACATATGTAGGTACCTATATACTACTTAGACGTTTATAGAACGTAAGCACTGAGTCTGCACATAAGTACGTTGTATATTTTTTTCCATGTTATTATAAAACAAATGTTGTTCGAGAAACGCGATGTTATTATTTTGCTTCTGCGTAATGATAATATAACTGTCTCTAAGAAGTCTAAAAGTACGTTCGCTTGTTATGTTTTCTGTGTAGATAAGAAAGTTCCACGAAACGTATATTATTAAAATATTTCGGTACTTCACGCATGATTACCGACGAGCAAATAAAACTCTCGATATACTATTGTGTATCGTAAGTTCACAAACGTGAAATATACAAAGTTTGTCTCCGGTACAGCATGTCGCCATCGATTGGGTTCAGCACTATGTGATAAGATGAAAAAGTCTAGGAATAAGCCGGAAACTTTGGATATTGAATTGAAATGAGTTTGGCGAAATAGCTTAGGCGCTGAACCGACGGTCTGTTTACGAGAAAGGTAAAATTGTTACGTCGCTTTTTTGGCCACTTTACCCTACCTGCTTTTTAGAAACAGAAAGCTGTTTTCTTTAGTGATCTTGTTCCAATAAAATCAGTAGGGTCAAATACAGTACAAAATTGAATTTCGTCAAAATTACTCTAAGCACAGACATACCATCCACGTATACGATATCTAGAATAATCTTGGAAATATTAAAAGTATGGACTCGTTGTGGGTGGTTTATCATAAAACCTCATTGTGAGATTTTTTCGCGTAAGTTTATTACTATATCCACCGTGCCGCTTCAAGAGTCTATTCACAAAGCTGTTTTCCACCCGATGACACCTCATAAATTTATGGCAGAAAATTCAACCTCCATTTCAATGGTTTTGTGGAACAGATACGAGTAATTCGAATCCTATGAGAGAAACATAAAATTTCGCATTACTTTCGTAGCATTCGTAGCACTCGTAGAGCATTCGTAGCAGATCCGTAGCAGTTTTGCTGGTCAACCGACACGTCAGATGTATGCAGTAAGATAGGAGCAGCAGTGCCGCAATGTGCCACCGAGACACGGAAAATGCTTTAGTGAATCTATTTACCGCCAAAACCACTCCGCTTTTTTGTTAAACCGTAAACGAAATTCTGAAACGAAATTTTATCTCTTAAAATTACCATTTTTAATGACAGCGGTACTTTTATGCTTTTTGCTGCCTATTTTTAATATCACGAATGGTTGTGTCATGCCATTGCACTTTATGTTTCGAAACGTATTAAGTTTTTATTAAAATAAATTGATGTTTTGTTTTTATCTGGAAAATTGTTGGTTCATTTTTGTGTTACTTTTTTCGTTATTTCTTGACAAATACATTTTGGCTATTAGAACATAAAAACGTATTAAAAACACCTGGATAGGTAGTGTAATATGAATAGCATTTAATTTTTTTTCAATTCGGAATACATTAATTGGAAACTCACGTCACAACGGTTCCTATGATTGTTAATATTTAATTAGCATACACACAAAAATGACGGGGCTCAAAATAAATGGAGGAATAATTGATAGGATGCCTTATTTTTCGGCAGTATAACATGCGACGACCCTATCATTAATATATGATAGGGGAGCGATCCTGTGTGCGCAAAATTTTGCTTATTCACTGCACAAGTCAGCTATTTCCTAACACGTTAGCTTTTGAATTAAAGCCTAAATTATTAATTTACCTTCTTTAAAGTGTCTGGTTTTGTGACAGCTGAAATTTTTATTAGATAACTAATTGTGTGTAGTAATGATAACTTGTGTGGGGCAACGTTCTTTTTTTTCAAAAACAAAATGATTCTTACAACAATTGTTAAATTTGTAGTCGATTTTATGAAAAGAAAATGTCTTACTATTTATTTACTTACCTAAAAACTGAACATATATTATAAATTACGAGGCCTGAGGTTCAGTCTCTTGGTCTAAGTACTACCTATTTGACGATTGATCTAACATTTTAAAACCTTCCTACATATATTTTGTAAAAAATTAGAGGACCTAAGATCAATGAGACGGAAAATAATAATGTAAAATATGTATTAGTAAAACCTCCGAAGAAATAAAATCTACTTACTAGAACAGGTATAATATATGTACATATGAAATGTATATATTCCAATACTTACCTATGTAAAGACAACATAGCAGATATACATATTTCGACATACATTCATATCTCTACATAATACCTTAGATAAGAATTACATACAGTTATTACTTGGAAACGTTCTTTGATGTTTTGCACTGAATAATGCAATGTCACCACATCACATGGTTCGCTTTAAAGGGTAGCTTTTGAGTTTCTACCCCTTAATGGAAGAGTGTTATGATATGGCCTTAAATGCAGAACTCGAACGTGTTTATAATATAAATTAGTTCAATGAGAATTATGAGCCAATGGAATTGGCGGCTGGTGAGCAGAGGAATCTTGGAGTGGAAGAAAGGGAAATATTTTTGAGTTTTTTGAATTTTGCAGTTTTATAAACTAGATTCGTTTGGTTTTATTATAATAATAATAGTTACTGTTTATCCCCAATAGGTAGTTGCCAGTCGATAGCCACCGTTACTACAATGTAACAGTTCATTTTTTAATGCATTTTGCTAATTATTTATAGAAAATACAGGATGTAAACGGAACTCTCCCGAAAAACGCCAACAGGTTATAGTAAAAAACAAGTTTTATTTTCTTAAAAGTAAGGATTGCACAACATAACATCATGCCTTTTTATTCCCGAAGGGCTAGGCAGAGGTGCACATTATACCACTGTACAATGTAACACCCACTTTTCTATATTTATGTTATGAGTCCCATGTAATAGGGCGTGAGCCTATTGCCATATACCGGGCACAATGCCAGACTCCGTGCTACTAGTGAGGATTTTTTTAAAACCCAGTAATACTTTGCCCGACTCGGGAATTGAGCCCGAGACCCCTTGCCCGGCAGTCGCACTTGCGACCACTAGGCCCCAACGAGGCAGCTTTTAATGGTTTATTTGTTTTTATAACACACTACTACCTTCATCGTAAGTTTTTCATAGTTCATTATGACATAGTGGATTGTCAAGTTCATTGTTCCATTTTTGAAATATTTTTGTGCCAATAGGATAAGGTAATTTGAGCAGACGGATATCACGCTGTATTTCTGTCCTTGTCATTACGTGCGTAATGTCACTGACTTTCTTCTGGAAAGACAGAGTACACGATATGTTGAGCGTGACGTCACAGACGTGTCATTTGTTTTCTTTTT